GTACGATTGCATACATTAGATTGTAATTTTCTTAAATATTTACGTGAATTAGCGTTATACTGTTAAAAACGAGCAGGCAAGCACTAATAATAACACTTCTGAATAAATTTTACTTTAAGTATCCGTAATGAATAGGTCTTCGAGGCTGCAGCGAAATCTCTACACAATAATTATCGGGAGCAAAAGCTAGGGTAAATACAATAGCATTGTGAGGCCTACCCACAGCATTGTCGGAAAATCAGTTATCAGTCCTTTATCACATTAAGCGGCCTAGAGTGATTAAAGTTCCTATCTAAAATCTACTGATAGTGTCAAAAGCAAATAACGTTGTCGATTACAATGCAAAATAAACTAAAGCAATAATCCCACTATAAAAATATATGAGAGAAATCTGGCTTGCACCTCGGTTCGATTTCCGTTAAAGGTGCTGAAAAGACCCGGGCGAGGTCGAAGCTACAAACCAATCTTGATGAGAAAAATTTATGATATTTACTCATTTCTTGTTTACTTTAAATATTTGACACAGTATGAGTATTGAATAATTATGTAAAATTAACGGAATCAGTCGGCAAATAAGTACAAAATAGTTAATAAGACATTAGATAATGATCATACACCATTTGATAACATGGACCTGAAAAAGTTTCCGTGAATTCAAGCTATATATATAACTACCTGTTCAACAATAGGCTTTGATCTAACCCTAGTTTCATGCAGCTCAGCTCGCTTTTCTCTAAAACAGCGTACCAAGCCTCGTCTTGGTAGCTGCTGTCGTTTAGGCGAACCAGAAGGAGAAATAAGTGAACTTGGCGGTGAACAGGCCCATTTGGTATTCCTGATTGTAGTGGGCGAACCGGAGCCAGGGTCAGGTTCAGAGGGAGAGTAGCAATTTTCACGAAGGATGGTCAAGTCAGGCGACCGATACTGGGGCAAGTGGGAAGTACCTGGAGTTGCAGAGAATGGTAATGAAGTCAAGTGCGACTTCTGCTGGAAATGTTCCGAAGTAATGTTGGAAGTAGCTCCGTTGGGCCATGAATGAAAGCCATCATTACTTCCTGAGTGTGAATTTATTGCATTATGAATGGTAGTATGAGTAATAGCGGAGGCAGCGGAATGACCGACATGGATAGATGGACATGCAGGCGACTCCGACTCTGAAGGCAAAAGAGAGCCAGAACCTGACCCGGATCCGAAGCCAGAGCTGGAAGTTGAACTAGGGACTGGAGAGGCGAAGGTGACTGCAGACGCTGATTCGAGTGAAGCCGAAGTCGCGACTACATTTAACTCTCTAATTCGTTCGGCTGGTAAAATATTAGGAGAGAGCG